ACCCCCCATGACTCCAACAACAATACCGCACGACTGACAATAGGTGGGACAAATAAAGAACCAAAGTCTCCCATAGATGGAATGGAAGACAACCAAGTCAACAAGTTAATCATATAAGATAAAGGTAGCCACATATTTCTCTCTCCCCTAGCCTGTGTTTGCAAAGGTCTAACCTGACCGGGACCCAGATCCAGAGAGAACGAGGAGGTCCTTCCCCAACCAGGAAACCTCTGTGAAGTACATCCACTTCACAGAGAGACACTCCTCCCTTCCTGCAAGTGGTCCCAGCTTTTATCCCCAAATGGGACACCTGACCTCTGTTTACTTAATGCAGGACACCTAGGGCTCATTTACCTTATGGCTCTCCCTGCAGGGCCAACCGCCCACTGGAGGGAAGCCAAAAGGCAAACTCACCACCTCTTTATGAAGGACTGTGGGAGTCACACTGGTGGCCTTCAGGGTTCAAAAGAAAGTCACGTCTAAAAATGCATTTAAAATACTAGCATTAATCTAATTTGCCTCTTTGCTATATAAACTTACAGTTCTATAGGTTTTGAAGTTGCACCAAGTTAAAAGGAAGAAACTTGCAATCACAAAGGGGTCACAATCACTCCTATTTTTTTAAGACAAGACCTCCTGCAAAACATCACCTAAGAAATCCACCAATGCTTTCTCTTTATGGAATCTAACAAGTACTATCCAAATAATAACCAAATCCAAACTTATTTAATTTAGGAAGTATGACAAGAATTTAATAAAATATGCTGTATCTTCATTCTAATTAGCAATGGTGGATTCCTCTGTGTTATGCTACCTGACATTTCCAAATGAGTATCTTACTGCAAATCACTCTTAACAGGTGGGTTTGGTTTTTTTTTTTCCCCTATTCATATATAATTGTCATTCTAAGTTACTTCAAATTCATCCCTTGCAAGATACTTCATCCAAGGTCTATGCACAATTCTTTGGAGGAAGTAACCTGGCTGAGAGTCCCTCACACAGTGTCCCCCTCTTTGCATGTCTGCATATTAAAAAATTATTTTTAAAAGTTTTTTAACAAAGTGAGCTGCAACACCTTTTTCCAACATCAATACTAAAACTTTTTGAAAGCCTAAAACATGAGTCACCCCTATTTCAATTCAAATTTTTCTGAGTTGTAGAAAGCACAATGGTGGTGAAATGTCGATATTTTCATATTATATTTGAATTTTTTAAAACCCCTTCCTTCTTCCAAAGGACATGTTTACACAGAAAATATTGACTTCCAGACTTGTTCTCATGCCATTTTCATCGACTTCATATCCATGGTCAAATTTGAAATTGCTTAAAGGAAAAACTTTCAACAGCAGCAAGTCTAGCAGAATCTGAGCAGGACTCAAAGATCATCCTCTTATGCTATGAATACTATCTGGTGTTTAAGAACAGTAAAATCCTAAATGCCAACAGAGAGGTCCAATCATTAAAAAAAAAAATCATTCCTCATCTTCAATAATTCGAAATTCATGGCATTGCCTGAATTAAAGAGCCCAAGATTACGACTGCTCAGGTCAGTGAAAAGATTCTCAGTAGCACCCATGAAGTTTAGACTGAACCTGTATTTTCAGATTTAAATTAACACCATATAATGCATTCAGAATAACATAAAATATCTTGTGCTTAGCTCCTACTGAGCTCACAATATTTGTGTTGAAATATCACCAGGAAAATCTCAACTCTTTACTCTTCAATCTTTCTTGATAAGAAAAACAAACCTGCCAGTATTTTAATCCACATTAGATTTGAGTTCAGCAGAGAGAACTGACTCTATTGTACAACTGCTCAGTTCACAACTTCATGGCACTATTATGTATTTCACTGAACATTTTCCTTACCTTACTAATTTAGCCAAACACATTTTAGAGCCAGTTATGTGGATGGTTTGAAAAAACAACTGCACTATTGAAATGGAAGAGATTTAGTTACACAACATGAAAAACTACTGTATTCTCAAGTGTGGCACTTAAATTTTCAGATCACACACAAGTGAACTGTCTTCTGTGATGCTACATGCATCAACAGAAGGTTAAGAGCCAGAGTACGTATAATATGGCCTTCATGTACGAAGGTTAATTGTCACAAAACATTTTAGAGAATCTCTGTTGGCAAAGCTATTTTTCAGATAACAGACATTTTCAAGAGTCCAAATAATAAGCTATGTTGAGACAGTAACCAACATTACAGTTGAGTTGTCCAAATACAGTAAGATTAAGGAGAACACAGGCTCTGTAAAAATTTTCTGCATCAATGCGTACAAACTATTTTCAAAAGTAAAGGTAAAAGCTTTTTCCATGCTTATGTCCTTCTGACAGGTGCACTGTAGTTTCTTGACACTCAAGTTCAAATTAAACTTATTTAGCTTTTGACTGCGTACATAGAACACTCATGACCTGAATTTCCAGTAATGCTTTTTGATATCCTGTATTATTTTCTAACTACATGTTTGTTCCCTAAATTGAGGATATTCACAGCATAATGCTAAGTGCACTAAAATGGCTTTCTAGTAAAAAAAATTTAAGCACTTCACCAGTTCCAAGAAGAGCTCACAGATGTCATGTGAACCTACCACTGTGACAGAGAGTTGGGAGTCTGAGTAGGACTCCCAGCTCCACTGCATCTGTTAAGACCACAAAGTTTCATTAACCCACAAGTAGCACAGCATGCATTTATGGCCAACCTTGTCTTGATCTCTATAGAGAATATTTTTCTCTTGTACTTGGAGACTGTTTCCCACAAATCAAAGTAATTTCTATTTAAAGGAAAACCACAATGTAGCAGGTACACATTGCAACTTATTCTAAAAGGACAGCTCAAATGTTTTAAATGTAATTTAGCATCAAGCAGATGATACACACTATGAAATACAAATAAACATCATTGTTCCTCAGGAAGGTTTTTGCACTACCACATCTTGCATCACAGGTGAAATAGGACCTTGGAGTAATCATCACTAAATCATTAAGTTCTTTCGTGCTCTGCAGAGGACCTTTTCACTGTAATCATCTCACTGTTAAGACTGAGAGCTCAAATACAGAAGAGTCTAGTGACACAGGAAAAAGTACCCTAGAATGGTTTCAGGTCTCCACAATGGAAGTCATAAAACTAAGCAGATCTGAAAATACTATGTGGTGCCTTAAAAAATAATTTCAAATCGCTATTAAAAGTTTACTTCCCACTAATTATAGGACAACTATGCCTTTCCCAGACTTTCAAATAATAAACATTAACTTTTGTGCAACCTGCTTCCTAACAATGTGGGGAAAATGCCAGTTCTCATGGTGACAGAATAATTCATCGTAATCAGGTCTGTTAAAACAGTTATTTTAAATATTTGCAGTAGATTTTACAAATTCATCTAGCAAACATTAGTTCAGCAACTTAAAACTACTACAATTTTCCTTTAAATGTTCTTGCCCTATGTACACGGTCTCAAAAAAAAACCTTCTAGCACAAGAAAAAGGCATAGAAGCCAGTAAAAATTGTCAAGTCAAAAAATTTATTTTTATGTGATTTTATTTTTTATTGCCATATGAAGATTGACATATGATGACAGTTCTATGGTATAATATACTGCAAGAATAAATCACACAAAATCCTGCTCCACATCACCTGGGCTATCTTCTGCTGACCACTTGCCCAATATAGAAAGATATTTTCATTAACAGGCAGCCAAATTCCTCCTTCTGCTTTTAAAATATACACCAGAGATCCAAGGTGCCAGACCAATAGAGAGAGGAATAAGTTAATATACTCACTGCATAGGATGTAAAGAAGGGAGCAAGCTGGCCAAAGATCCAAGTCATGGGAGATAGAATTAGCCAGGTAATGAGTCCAACTATGTAGTAGGGACTACATCTTTTTCACCACCATCCTGGAAACCCCACTTACTATGCACAGTCAGGAAGCCTTTCTGACAACCAGAATCCTCACACGGCACACCTACTGTCTAGACAGACCTCACTACCAGCAGAGTCAGCTCTTATAGAGGTGGCTTCTTGCCCCACCTCCAAGTTCATGTGGAAGGTGGGGGCACCTGGTGGTGATCTCCTAATCAGTTCCCACCCAAGGCTGGGACCCTGGGTGAAAACCAGTCAGGAGGGTCTTTCTTGCCTGGTTGTGGACATCATCCATATGCCAACCCTCATTCAGGGCTGGGGGTTTAAACCCCAGCACCTCAGGCTAATAAAATAACAAAGACTCAGCAGACAAAAAACTTGGAAGAATTCATCTTTCTTTTGCTAATAAAATTATGAGAAGCCCCCTATAATTTGCTGCTTCCAATCTTAAGACATCTGTGTCAGAAAATTAAAAGTATAGAAATTATAGATCTTTATGACATAGGAAAATGGTAACATCTTTGTCTAAAATGTTGAAAATTTAGGTGTGGATATAGCTTGTGCACCTGTGTAAACAAATTTATATTTATGTCCTAAAATAGGTGACCAGTTGCAATCTGCAAGAATTTACAAGGCTAAGTAGGTTTGTCATGCACTGAAATAGAGCTGAAAGCACAGCATAAGTGCAATAATGAACAGGGCCTTACTGTAACATGGGCAAGAGATATTCCATGTTATTTCTAACATAGCTGCCAAGCTGTGGTCTTAATATATTAAAGCTGGCTACTTAAGAATGTATTTAGTAGATTATCACCACCTAATGGGATTTGACAGCACTGATAGGAGTTCATATAGGTTTACAAAAGAAAAGATCTGAAAATTCCAGAATTCAAAGATAGTCCTTCCTCCAATTTACCATTTCTCTGCTTTGTTGGTGTGCAAACGTGCACTGAAACCTCAGAACCGATTTTAAAATTTGCCCATGTCTTGTTAACATACTGCAGTCTTCAAATTTACACAGAGCTGCAGTTCTCCTGGATTTTCTCAAGTGTCACTCATCAAATTTAACATGACAGCTGAGAAATTATGTCAGATGTGTTACAGTTCAGTTTAAAAAACATCCTCTACCTGGTATCTCTGCAGTGATTGTCTTGCTGCTCCCTGAAACCTCTTCATCATCATCATCTGATGAACTCGTGCTCGAGTCACATGTCAGGTCACTATCACTGGTACTGCTGTCCTGCAGCAGGTTGTACTTCTTGCGAGCAGCTGCCTCCCGCTTCTGTCTTAAGAGACGGATTCTTTCTTTGTGCTTTTGGCTTCGATGACCTTTTACCTTGGTAACTCGACCATTCTGCTTATCACTAGACTGTCGGTTTTTCTTGGCAGCCATTGTCGAAGTTTCGCTTTCAGACCTAGATCGCCTGGTTTTCCTTCCAACTGGAGCCCCAGACATCACAGAAGCATCTCCCTCTACAGCAGCTTCAGCTTGACAGGGCTCATTCTCTTCTGTGGAAGACAATGTATCTGAGTCAGCCAAATGCCCACTGGAAGAAGGGGAAAGCATGCAATGATTAGAAGAGTCACTCTCATAAACACAATCATCTGTTGGCTTATCATTTCCCATAGATGCTACTAGTTGAGACTCCAAGGAATTACGCCTCAGTTCCATCAGTAAGCAAGGCATTGAAGAGAGTACTGCAGAGTCTGCTGCAGTGGGCATGTTTTCTTTCTGAGGTTGTCTCTTGAGTTCTATAGGCCCATCTTCATCGGGAGGAGTCTCTTGCTTTTCAGAAGTCTTTGACAGAACTTCTGAATCAACAAGTTCTGCTTTTCTCACTGCTTCCATCTTCATTTCAGAACACCAAGGTCCTCCTGGTCTCAAAGCATGAAGCACATGGTGTGGAAGACTGGGTGAACTAGATACGGACTTCAGCAATACAAGAGCCTGCACAAGAACAGAACAGTAAGAACAATTTACCGAAATAGTCCTGTTCTTTACAGTATTAAACAATTAATTGCTTTCAATTAGACAGTGTGGTTCAATATAGTTTTGGTTTTCTTTATCTACTTTTCCCTAGTGAACTCATCCTGTTATGCCAAACTATTCTTCCTTTTACACACCCATGAAAGATGGTATTGAAATCACATTAAATGATTCACCTCATGAGAATAATCAAAACAGATCAGAAAATAATAAAAATATTTCTAAAATCTTACTTTATAAAACTTAAATCAATATATTATAAGCAACATATGCTAAATTTCTTTACCTAGTACTTTAAACACATTTTAATGAAAAATTTTAACCCTTATGAACAATGGCATCCTGAAAATTCCCAGACTTGGCAGTCATCTACCTGGACAGACCAGAATATAGTTTATTTCCCATATCTGTGAGAAATATACTATCAACCGAACAGGACCTCAACCTTATAAAATTACAGTGCTTTTATGGTAATTTGCAAACTTACAGTACCATCATAACACAGGAGAAATCTAGTCACTTTGAGCAGAAACTGAGTGGCTGCTGAACATTACAGAGCAAGGCTATAAACACCTTCCTTTTCCAGCAGAATCACTCTGCCAGTAGATCTTACATACCAAAGATGAATTTACAAGAAGTGCCATGAAGTGATACTAAATTGTCATATATGGGGTTTTTGACATCTACAGGCAAGGTCTTTAGAAATATTAGCTACATGTAACAGATTTGTTCTCAGCAGAGAACCACCATGCTGGTGAGTCATGTAAAGACTTATTAGGAGTATCTAATAGACAATTCAACTGCTCCTTGAGTGTCTCACATACATGTTCTGGTTGTATGAGAACCTACAGGCTGACCTAGTTTCAAATCTGCCAGGAAAACAGCATAAAATAGCTGCAAGAAAGAAACAGTATCCATCCACACCAGTATCCTACATTTTACTTCAAGTTAGACTTTAATAAATTGCATTACTTCAGCACTGTCCTGGTTTGGGGTAGAACAGGGCTGGTTCTGTTCAGTGATTTTAACTTTCCAGCTAAAGCTCTTCTAATTAACTGCCTTGTATGAAGTTTGCAGCATGCAAAATGCCTGCTTCTAGCAGTGATAGGACTTCATGTTTAGAGTTACTGCCAAGGATTGGTATGCAGACCAAGGTCACTGCTAAGCTTGCGTATCACACGGAGGGGAGCAGAAAGTAAAGCCACATCTGCAGGGAGGAGCAGACAAGATAAGTGACCCTAAAATTCACCAATGGGGTATTCCATCCCATATCCATCATATCCAGTAAAAGCTGAAGGATCAGGAGGGGCAAGCCCTTCTGTCACCCCTTCCGTCTCCTTCTTCCTCGCTTCTGCTGCTCCTGCAGTGTCTGGCATCCGAGAATGACTCCATCCATTCTGCCTTTGATCCCAAGTCCTGTGTTCCTGAACTGAGTTCCAGAATCCAGCTCCTGTACCCAGTTGCCGTCTGTGGCCAAGTCCAACCTGGGGCTTTTCTCCAGGGGCTGCTCCCCAAATGGGGTTGACAGTGACGTACTGCCATCAAGGAGGGGGAGTTGGGTTCAGTACTGGTTTTGCATATATTTGTACATATCTCATTTTATTATCATTATTACTATTATTATTAGTGGTAGTATTAAAGCTGTTTTCCTTTTATTTTCTAATCAATAAGTCTCTCTCCTTTCCCTTTCGGGGGTGGGTGGAGTGGGATAACAGAGAGCATCTGTTATGGTTCTGGGGGCTGCCCTGACCCCAAACTGCAGCAAGTGCAAGTATAAAACCCAAGCTATTTATCTGATTGATAACTTGCACATTATCAACCCAGAAGTACCTGAAACACCTTCAGGGAATTTGTTTTAGAGATCAATATTTATCATTTTATGCTCATTAGTCACACTTTGCCTTCCACCTAAATTTTGACTTGGAATTCAACAGAATAAACATCTTTCAATTTCCACATTCACTTACAGATGAATGGTGATGAGATGAGCAATAAAGCAGGCAACCCCATAGAAGTTATAAATGAAGATGGACTTCAGCAACTCTATGAGAGTTATAATTGAAAACGTTTATTGCTATCAGAAAGCTGCTTATATAGTATACAAAGCTGTCCACACGCCCTGCTTCCCAAGCTAATTGGTTACAAACTACTATCCATGGGCTTAAGCTCTTTTCACAATTTGTTTTCCAGCTGCCATCATGGTCTTTGTTGTTTTTCTCTTGCTTCCTCCTTATCTTGGTTCTCTGCATTCCTTTCCCTTCCTATCTCTCGCTTTGTTGTCTTTTTCTTCTGTATTTAGCATTCTTGGTGTTTGCAGCTGCCCTTCAAGTGAAATATTCCCACAGAATGGTATGTAACAAATCCTTTACGGGTTTATAAGTATACTAAATGATAAATTTATGGTAATTCAAAAAAAGTGTAGACAAGAAAAAGCAGTGGTAAGATTTAACCTATTGTTTTTTAAAAATTCATTTCTTCAGATAAGGGCAATTAGTATTTGAGCAGCCTGAGAAAGCATGGATAGTCCAGAGAGATTTTTCAGTCCCCTGACAATCCTTCTTCAGTTTCCTGATCCATTCCAAGCTTCTCGTAATTGTATGCTGCTTCCCCTCTCCATCTGCAGCACAGAATAAGGCTACTTCCCTGCTTCTAAAAGGTGCTGTGAAAAACTCAATGTTGTCCTGTCTGCCCTAACCCACTTAGAAACTTCATTTTTACAGAATACTAAAATAGTTAATGCTTTCTTGAGGCTAATGAATGAAATTATGTAGGGTGCAAGGGAATTATGAAAATATTTGAGTGAGAAGCATCAGTTAAGGAAAGAAAGCTTAATTAATATCAGATAATACAAGAAAGATGGAGGTGACAACTCTAGGTGTGCTAAATATAAAACCAAAACAAACCCAACTCCCAAATAGGTATTTTGCTTAAAAATAAATACTGTAAAAATACAGGAATATATATATAAAAAAAAATCTTTGCCAATACTTGCACTGAGTAAAATTTTCTTGAAAGCAACTTAAAAGAAGAAATTCTGGATATGGGAACTTAATGCAGGAAATAAATATCACATAAGAAATAAATTATTTCCAAGGCCACAGTACAACATCAATAAACCCAAATGATGAATACATGTTCTAAGACAAACACATCCCAATACTGTAATAAAATAAGCATTTATACATATTTCATCTGCAAATCTACACTATAAAATAATTCTATTATACAGGTAAGTAAAAGATCAGAAGACTGAATGACAGGCCAAGAGTTATACACAGTGGGATATGTATTGTACCTGCTAGTGCAACTCTCAGCTTTGCTCTGGTCATGCACTTTGAAAATTCTTTTCTAAGAGTTTTGAAACGTACACGCAAGGAAAAATTTGGTTGCTCGTACACATACTAGAAAAATATTAGCTTGGCCAAGAGAAAGTTATTTAAATATTCATACTAGTAACTGTAAAACATGTTCTGCACTATTTATCCTTTTAGCCTGGGGAGCACAAAGAATAGAACTTGACTCAAAGCTAAATGGCAGCCAAAGAGAGACTCTTTTTTCACAAACATCCTACTTGGGAACATCATCTACCTCACAGCTCCCAAAGGGATTATAAGAACACCTGTACTTACCTTTCCATCTCTCTGGCCTATCAGCCAGAAAAAAAAAGTTTCATCTACATGTTGCCACCTTGCTAACATTCTAATTAAAATGACTCAATATATTTTTTTTAAATTAAGCATGACCTTATTTTACACAAACCACATTAGTTTGATCCCTCATACAGTGATCAGGGAATTTTATTTTCAGTGAGAAGGCAGCACAAGGACTAATAACTTCACAGAAGCGTATCTGGTCAACACCAACTTGTGTTTCTGTGTGCATGGAAAAAATACTTGCTCTGATGAGGTTTGTACACTCCAGGTCCCTTGAACTGGCTATTCAAACATCAACAATTTGAGTATTAGTATGTATGTAAAAAAGAACTTCATACGTATCACGGTGGAAAAAAATTCCAACATGAGACTGACTTTGCTGCAAGAAATACAGACAGAGGAAAATATCTATGCCAAAGAAAGCATTGTCTCAAGAAAAAAGAAAAAATTACTGATTTAGTTCTACTTGGGAAATGTATAGATCAGAGAGAGGAAAAGACTTTATTGTAAAACTCCCATGCCTTTCTTGCGACTCACTTTTCTAGTAACAGCACTAAAAAAAAGCTAATATCAAGGGGATGCTACAGAAAGAACAGGTTTTTACTGAAATGAGAACATAATATTGAAAAATACGTTGTGATGCTTACAGACAAATGGATTAGACATTAATTAAACATTGCTCAAAAATGACATTCTTTTTCTGATGCAGATACTGGACTGATGATTTTAAAAGGCAGTTCTGTAAAAACTTCTGTGCTAGATTTTTCCAACAAATTATTTTCTAGCCACACATAACAAACCAGTATGCAGAAGCTATTAAATATTTAACTGTACCTTTACTTGGGGAATATTTTCAAATCATGGACTCATTTGTAAAGGCACATAATTTGTATACTATGAAAATTGCACTTTAATGAAGAAATTCAGAAGAATTTTGAAGTTCAGATTAGTAGAGACAGCGAGCTGCTGGGATCCCCCTGTCACCCCAACGATACAGATTGGTTCGGCCCCACTACAGCAGGATGGCATCAGGGTACACTGTGCATCAGTATCAACTAGAGCCTTGTACTCCTGTGGGTCTGATGTGCTGGGCCATCAGACAAGATGGGACGTCTTC